ACCAGATCTTCATTAAAGATAAGTGTCAATTATTTTATTGTTATTGTAATTATTCTATTGCATTAAACCTAATATTTCATGTAGTAAAAATTTTTTTTTTCATACTTTTGGGTGTCTTGCACAGATTAATTTGATTTCCATTATTTCTTATGAGGAAAATTGATTCGGTTTTCGATATTATCGGTATTCGATGAGCTCTCAGGAATGGATTAATATTGAATACCAGGGGTCCACTGTACTTAGGTATATAGCATATGTAGTACGTATATACAGTGGACCCCCTGGTTATCGTAATTAAACTGTTCCTGAGAGAGTGACTAAACCCCGAATCTGACGATTTACGAATTAATTTTCCCCATAAGAAATAATGTAAATCCAATTAACCCTTTCAGGGTCCGTCCCGTAGATCAACGGCTTTACGTTCAGGGTCCAAACCGTAGATCTACGTCATGAGCTCAGCTCACTCTGATAAACTGTGAGTGGTAAATTTGGGCCTAGATATGAAAGAATACATCTATGTGGTATGTGTGCACCACATAAAACAAATCCTGCAGCACACTGTGTATAATGAGAGAAAAAAAACTGAGACCATGATTTTCAATTAAAACAGCGACTTTGCAGTGTTTTTTCGTATGTTTTTTATAGTTGTATTTGTGATTTCTTGGTCTCATTTGATAGAATGGAAGACATATTACAGAAATAGAGATAATTTTGATTGGTGTTAGCACTGGAAATGGCTTGAAATTGAACTCAAAGTGGCGGAAATGTTAAATTTTTGCCGATGTTCAAGAGTAAACAAACGACCTCACACGTCTAATACACGCCAGCTGGTGGGTCTAATATACATTCACAAATGTGGTGATGATATTTATACAATTATTACAATATTGCATAACAGTAAATCTTCTATTTTTTGGTGTGAATAAAAATTCATTATGTGAATAAAAAATCAAAATGGAATTTATTTGTAAAGCCTCAAAACATAACTAATGAACAGAGAAAATGTTAGTTTAGTGCCAGGAATACCTACATTGTTTATTCTGGACCCTATTTTGAAATTGGAACATTTTGAACTTTGTGTTAAATTGGCCAAATTACCAATTTCCGGTCACTTTATTTTGTAGTTGAAACAGTTGACTTAGCGATTTCTTGTGCTCAATCGATAGAATAGAAGTAATAGTGAAATAGCTGAGAATTTGGTCGACTGGAATAATGTAATTGGCCTAAAATGGGAGTCAAAGTCGGCAAAATCGCCGATTCGTAAATATCGCTGACACATCAAAATTCACGAGAGCATAATTTCGTCAATTTTCCATCAAATTTCGTACTTTTTGTTTTATTACATTCACAAAAAGATTCTCTACCATTTCATAAGAAAAAATAAAAATTTTTTTTTTTTGAAAATTCTTGGACACTGGGGCACCACTTCAGATTTTGGCCTTGGACCCTGAAAGGGTTAATCCATTCCAGACACCCAAAAGTATTAAAAATAAATATTTTTTTTACATGAAATATACATTTACCTACACAGAAAACAATGAGACATGCAGAATAAAACAATAAAATGACACTTACCTTTATTGAAGACTTGTTGATGAGTGATGAGAGAGGAGGGAAGAGGATGGAGGTGTACTATTGTTTGGAAGGGTAATCCCCCTCCATAATGACTTCAGGTACCAAGTCCTTCTCTGGGGTTACTTCCCTTCCTTGTTTTTTAATGCCACTAGGACCAGCTTGAGTCACTTGCCCCCTGTTGCTCAAAAATGTGTTCCAGAGAGGTCTGTATCTGGCATTTCTTTAAAACTTCCTAAAATGGGACACAACGTTGTCATTGTACATGTTGTCAACATGGCCTGCAACAGCTTTGTCAGGGTGATGTTCCTCCATAAATGTTTGCACCTCATTCCACTTTGCACAAATGTCCTTCATCTTTGAAGAAGGTGCCTTCCAACATCTCTCTTCCTCCTCCTCAGAAGCAATTTCCTGAGCTGTGGTCTGTTGCTGTTGCAGATGAAGGTCTTGCAGCTCTCCAGTGGTTAGTTCTTCATTGTGGTCCTCCACTAACTCTTCCACATCCTCACCACAAACATCCAACCCCATGGAAGTCCTCAGTGCCACAATACTTTCCACATCTGCCATAGGCTCATCAGGGTTCAGCCCCAAACCCTTCAAAATCCTGCTCCTGGACACATTCTGGCCAGTTTTCTCCAGGCAGATTTTAAAAGTCCTGGAAGTCACTCCCTCCCAAGCCTTACCTACAAGGTTTATGCAGTGGAGGATACTGAAGTGATCTTTCCAAGTGAGGGCCAAGTGAGTGTCTCAGGTCACATTAAAGCACCTTTGAAACATTGCTTTGGTGTACAGTTTTTTGAATTTCAAAATGATCTGCTGGTCCATAGACTGGATGAGAGGAGTGGTATTAGGGGGCAAGAACTTCACTGTGATGAAACAAAACTCCTTCACCATTTGCTCTTCCAAGTCTGGAAGATGAGCAGGTGCATTGTCCATTACTAGGAAGCACTTGAGTTCCTATTTATTTTCCAGGAGGTATTTCTTCACACTGGGGCCAAACGCGTCATTAAACCAATCAAGGAAAATGTCCCTCGTGACCCATGCCTAACTGTTTGCCTTCCACATCACACAATTTAATCTTGGTGACACTGTTTTTCTCAAACACACTGGGATTTTCAGAGTGATACACCAGTAAAGGCTTCACTTTGAAATCCCTACTCATATTACTACAGAACATGAGAGTTAGCCTGTCTTTCATAGGCTTGTGTCCTGGGAGTGGCTTTTCCTCCTGCATGATGTAGGTCCTCTTTGGCATTTTCTTCCAAAAGAGGCCTGTTTTGTCACAATTGAACACTTGGGGTTTGAATTGCTCACCTTCTATGTACCCCTTGAATTCCTGAACATATTTTTCAGCTGCATATTTGTCAGAACTTGCAGCCTCGCCATGCCTTACCACGCTGTGTATGCCACTACGCTTCTTAAATCTCTCAAACCATCGTTTGATTGCCTGAAATTCACTAGCATCAGCACTAGTTCGAGGCATTTTCTTTACGAGATCTGCATGCAGCTGCCTTGCCTTTTCACAAATTATTGACTGCATAACACTATATCCTGATAATTGTTTCTCGTTGATCCACACCAACAACAAAGTCTCTGCATCTTCCAGTATTTGCGATCTCTGTTTTGTAAGCATATTTGTACCTTTCGCAACAACAGCTTCCTTGATTTCCTTTTTCTTGGCCACGATAGAAGCGATGGTTGTATGGAGTTTGTTATACAACTTGGCTAGCTCTCTGACATTACTCCACCTTCATATTTTGCACTGATGTCTTTCTTGAATTCTGTAGTGTTTTTCACCTTCTTTACTAAAGGGCCAGCACTAGAAGCTTTCTTTGGGCCCATGGTTGTTTATTTAGCAGTTACAAGCACTAAAAAGAATGGAATAATGCGAAATGTATCATATGAACACGTGGGATCATCCTCACTGGCTGATAAATTTGTCAGTGTCTGACAGTTGTCAGACATTGACAAATTTCAATGTTCTGTAATTTTCTCTTGCAAGGGCAAGAGAGAATGAGGCTGTTACATCAGGAAGCCATGATCATGTTGCTGTGGGAAGCTGAATTTTCATGCACTCTTGTTTCCCATTTTCGATCTGCTCGTTGGATGTTTGACAGCTTATACAGTGGTCCCTCGCTTTTCGTAGTTCTCGGCAATCGTAAATTTCGCCAATCATAGGGGTATTTTCGTATAAACATGGACTCGCTTTTCATAGGTTGACTCGCGAATAGTAGTTCGTCCAGGATGCTTATGCACAGTGTGAGCCGGGGAGGCCTCCCTACCCAGCCAGTCTGGCATTGTTTACCAGTGAGTGAAGGTCCCCTCAAGTGCTCCTACGGAATATTTCATAATATTCCACTCATTTTAGTGCTTGCAAGTACTAAATAAGCTACCATGGCTCCAAAGAAAGCTCCTAATGCCAAGCCTTTGGTAAAGAAGGTGAGAAATATGTACAGTGACAAAGTCTTGTACCATTTTAGGGAAGTGTTAAAGAGACGCCAGAAACAGAGCTCTCTCCACAGTTACTTTGCGAGACAGGACTAGAGTGACTCTCAAGGTGGACCTAGTGGCATTAAGAAACAGAGAAGAGAAGCAACCCCAGAGAAGCAATTGGTACCTGAGGTGTTGCTGGAAGGGGATTCCCCTTCCAAACTGTAAACAATCCAATCTCTCTCCTCCTCCAGTCTCCAATACACTAAGAAGAATCTCCAATAAAGGTAAATGTTATGCTGTTAATGTTTCATTCATCATTTCCCATTGTATTGTTTATGTACTACATGTATATTTCATGTAAACATTTTTTTTGTTTTAATACTTCTGAGTGTCAGAAACGGATTAATTGTATTTACATTATTTCTTATGGGGAAAATTGATTCGCAAATCGTAAATTTCGTTTATAGTAGCTCCTCCAGGAACGGATTAATTACGAAAAACGAGGGACCACTGTATATTGGTTACAAGTGATTATAATCTAGTATAGAAGAGGTCACCTCTGTTTTATCTCTGGCAAGAGGAGAACATTGGATCCCAGTGGACTGATTATTTCAAGAATCTCTGATAGTATGCCCAAAATATTTAGCAAGTAATAAAAGCTAAGAGTTTCTTAGTAGTATTGGCACGCTTCTGGCAAGACAACAATGGAGCGAGTGATGGTGAAAGTGTTTATTTTCCGGGTCGCCCTACCTCGGTGGGAGATGGCTGGTTCATATAAAGGGAAAAACTAAGGGTGGAATGAGCCAACATTGGGTTACAAGAGTAATATGTTTGTTCAGTCTTTGTTTCATTTTCCCTTTTATTAGTATTTGTATGTAAAGTGGTATTAGGTGGATGATATCTATTGCATTGACGTTTTCTTTTGTAGGCACTGCATCGTCTCTGTAGGTGAGTCATGTGAATAAATGCATTTAATCTTATCTTATTTCCTCCAGGGAAATCTGCAGCAGCTACAGCAGGTGAAAGGTTGGCAAGGTCAAGAAGTTCTTTATTTTGGTGACCATCCATACACCGATCTAGCGGATGTTTCTCTCAACCACAGTTGGAGAACAGGTGCTATCATATGGGAATTAGATGTAAGCTAACACTATTTTTTGGTAGTTGACTGGTTTGCATTTTATTGCTTTTTTAGACTTGACCCCAGCAAAATATGAAAATGGTGGTACATGAACACTTTTAACAGAGCAAATCTTTGTTTCGTATAAATTAATGCATGCTTTGCTACAAGTGTCTTTGTATTACTGTATTTTTCAGCATCTTTTTTTTTCTGGCAAACCAAATGTTAAGAACCTGAGCATAAATAGTCTCCTTCCCATCTTGTGCTATTTTGTTCTCTTCTGGGGAACATTGTTGTACAGTACATTATTTCACTGGTTTACAGAACATTTCGGACTACTCTAATAAACAAAGCTTTGACAGATCCACTGGCATACAACTATGAATGATTAATATCTCATTCAGTCAGTCAAACACTGTTGGGTCAAACCAGCAACAGTTTGGGTGTGTAAACAACTTTTCCTTGGCAATTAGTACCTCAATAGGCTACCTGCTTCAGGTCCCTGTCCTGGCAGTACTGTGACATACCCTACTAAATGACTTGTATTTATTTTTTATGTTCTTGATGAATTCTTTATATTTCAGGCTTTATTTCTAGTTTAATTTGCTTATGTTTACAAGTATGACAACCAATTTATAATGTAGCATCAAAAATTAACAGTGGGAAACAAACAAAATAAAGGCTGATGGAGGCTGGATAAATTCCAGCTTCCATCTGTGTGTGGAAGGAAAAAATTATCTGAACTGTGGACTCACAGAATACTTTATTGTGGTTGGACTATTCTTGTATGAGAGAAAACAGTCTCTTGTACTTCTATAAAAAAAAAAAATAACTTTACATTCTCAGAGTAAGATGCATGTTCAACAGTTGTGGTTTTAGTGTTGAAATGTTTCACCTGCTTAGCAGCTTTCTTTAGTCAAAATACAGATTTGATGCAAATAGCGGAAACAGCAGAAACAATGGAGAGGTAAATATATAGTGATCAATCCTTCAGCCTTGGTAAATGTTCAGCTCCATAGCCTCAATTAATGTGAGGCTAAGGCATGAAAATGGAGCCTTTTATATTGGAGCAAGAAAGGTGGGGCCTGCTAGTGGAAGTAAGAACACAAGAACTGAAGAATAATGAAAGCCTAATTGCCCATATTAAGCAGGTCTTTCTCAGATCCATCTCTTCTCATTCATAACTAGTGGTTGAGCAATAAAGCTGTAGAAGTCCTCTGTATCATGATACCATGGTGTGCTGCTAAACAAGTATCATTATATTAATGGTATACAATACTGACAAGTAGATGAGTAAGATGCATGTGCAACAGTCAAAATGCTTCTACTTGGCAGGTTTCTTCACTTGAAATGGAGAGGTGATATAAATATTGGAGACAGCAGGAGGAGTGATGTTGTTCAGTCATGATTAGTAACTCTTGTGACCACAACACAATATGAGCCATATGAAATTTTACAAAAGCGAAGACTATTATTTGCTATATCAGGTCAAAAGGAGTTGTTAGAACAGGAAAATAAACATATTGTGACCCTGAGTACACTAGTAAATGTTCAATGTGTTAAGAGGAACTGGAAGCTCACATCTTTGGAATATAATGATTTAACCTATGGTATATTATATTTGTTCCCTAAAAAGCATTCAACCTTGTTTAGCTATCAGATGTACGGACAGGTATTGATTTTTTTTTTTTTTGGGGGGGGGGGGAGATAAATTCGAGAAATATGAGAATTTTTATTTATTTTTAAAGTTGGTGAAAAGCAGATATATAATTCTGACAAGTTGTGCACGTGAGCAAACAATTAGGACATTTTATTATAGAAATGCTTCCCCATTGGGGATCTTAATTGATTTATGTAAAGCTTTTGATACATTTGACCATGATTTGCTACACATAAAATTATCACACTATGGTATAAGAGGGCACTCCCTCAACTACCTAAAGTCATACCTTAGCAACAAAGCCAATATGTATATGCAAATGGAGCGAACTCTTCCACACAGCCAATTACAGTTGGTGTCCAACAGGGAAGTGTCCTTGGCCCTCTTCTCTTTCTCATTTACATAAACGACCTACCAAATGCATCGCAACTACTCAAACCCACACTATTTGTAGATGACACTACATACGTCTTCTCTCACACAAGCCCAGTCATACTAGCCAATACTGTAAATACCGAATTACAGAAAATATCTACCTGGATGATGATGATAAACTTACTCTCAATATTGACAAAACCTACTTCATTCAGTTTGGGAACAGAACTACAGATGTTCCTCTTAACATAATGATAAACGGATCACCTATCACAAAGCTCACAAAGGGAAAATTCTTAGGAATCTGCCTTGATAATAGACTCAAATTTCAAACACATGTACAAGAAATTTCCAAGAAAATCTCCAAGACTGAAGGCATACTATTGAAGATACGGTACTATGGTCCACAGTCAGCCCTCCTGGCCCTATATCACTCACTCATTTACCCCTATCTCACCTATGGAATTTGTGCATGGGGCTCAACAACAATAAATCATCTCAGGCCATTAATTACCCAACAAAAGGATACAGTCAGAATGATAAATTCCCACTCCAGGCAGCATACTCCACCAATATTCAAAACTCTAAACTTACTCACCATACAAAACATCCATACTTATTATTGTACCTACTACATACATAGAACACTAAACTCAGATATAAACCCTCTCCTCAAACTTCTCCTTACCAACCTCAACAGAACATGTGACCACAACACAAGGCACAGATCACTCTTTGATGTTCTCCGTGTCCATCTCACACTATGTAAAAACTCAATTCACATAAAAGGCCCAAAAATCTGGAATTCATTACCCGTGAATATAAAAGAAATACTGTCTGTTTATCAATTCAAGACTCTTCTTAAAAACCACTTACTCAACCACAACTAAATAAATACGTACTGAATAACTGAATCTCATAAATGTATAACCTGTGGTCCTATCAAACTACCTTTTTTTTAACTACATTACCTAATAGAATACTCCATTTTCTTGAATGCACAGTATTGCATCTAATGACCATATGACCTGTTTCTGCATTACAAATCATTGATTTTACTCGATCTGATTCGATTATATTATACATTGTTATGGTACAAATTTGTATAACTTTAATGCTTCTTATTTGAAATACAGTGGACCCTCGCCTGCAATATTAATCCGTTCCTGAGAGCTCAACGTTAGGTGAAATTATCGTTAGCCGAATTAATTTTCCCCATAAGAAATAATGGAAATCAAATTAATCCGTTCCTGACACCCCAAAGTATGAAAAAAAACATTTTTACCACATGAAATATTAATTTTAATACACACAAACTGAAGAAGACATGTACAATTACATGACACTTACCTTTATTGAAGATCTGGTGATGATTGATGGGATGGGAGGAGGGAAGTGTGTGGATGGTGTTAATGTTTAGAAGGGGAATCCCCTTCCATTAGGACTTGAGGTGTCAAGTCCTTTTCCAGGGTTACTTCCCTTCTTCTTTTAATGCCACTAGGACCAGCTTGAGAGTCACTGGACCTCTGTCGCACAACATATCTGTCCATAGAGGCCTGTACCTCCCGTTCCTTTATGACATTCCTAAAGTGTTTCACAACATTGTCACTGTAATAGTCACCAGCATGGCTTGCAATAGCTGTGTGAGGGTGATTTTCATCAAAAAATGTTTGCACTTTAAGCCACATTGCACACATTTCCTTAATCTTTGAAGTAGGCAACTTCCTCAATTTCTCTTTCCCCTCCTCCGGAGCAGTTTCCTCAGGTCTGGCCTCTTGCTGTTGAAGATGATCTTGTAGCTCATCAGTGGTTAGTTCTTCATTGTCCTCCTCCACCAACTCTTCCACATCCTCCCCACTAACCTCCAACCCCAAGGACTTCCCCAATGCCACAGTTGATTCCACAACTGGCATAGGCTTCTCAGGGTTAGCCTCAAATCCTTCAAAATCCCTTTTGTCTACACATTCTGGCCACAGTTTCTTCCAAGCAGAGTTCAAGGTCCTCTTAGTCACTTCCTCCCAAGCCTTACCTATAATGTTTACACAATTGAGAATGCTAAAGTGATCTCTCCAAAACTCTCTTAGAGTCAATTGAGTTTCTGAGATCACTACAAAGCACCTTTCAAACATAGCTTTTGTGTAGAGTTTTTTGAAGTTTGCAATGACCTGCTGGTCCATGGGCTGCAGGAGAGGAGTGGTATTAGGAGGCAAAAACTTGACCTTAATGAAGCTCATGTCCCCAGAAAGTCGCTCTGCCACGTCCGAAGGATGACCAGGAGCATTGTCTAATACCAGGAGGCACTTAAGGTCCAAATTTATTTTCCAGGAGGTAATTCTTCACAGTGGGGGCAAATGCATGGTGTAACCAGTCATAGAAAAGGCCTCTAGTGACCCATGCCTTACTGTTTGCTCTCCTTAAGGACATTGTTTTTCCTGAACACACTGGGAGTTTCAGAGTGATACACCACTAGCATTAGCACACATCAACAGAGTAAGCCTGTCTTTCATTGGCTTATGTCCTGGGAGTGCCTTTTCTTCCTGAGTAATGTAGGTCCTGCTTGGCATTTTCTTCCAAAACAGGCCTGTTTCGTCACAATTAAACACTTGTTCAGGTTTCAATTCTTCACTGTCTATGTACTCCTTGAATTCCTTCACATATTTTTCAGCTGCTCTTTGGTCCAAACTGGCAGCCTCACCATGCCTTATCACACTATGTATGCCACTACGATTCTTAAATCCCTCAAACCAACCTTTGCTGGCCTTAAATTCACTCACATCACCACTAGTTGCAGGCATTTTTCTAATTAAATCGTCATGCAACTTCCTAGCCTTTTCACATATGATCGCTTGAGAGATGCTATCTCCTGCTATCTGTTTTTCGTTTATCCACACCAATAACAGTCTCTCAACATCATCTATCACTTGCGATCTCTGTTTCGAAAACAAACTTGCACCTTTAGCAAGAACAGCTTCCTTGATTGCCGT